TTGAACTTTTTATATTCCTGGACTATCTTATCTTCCAGCTCCTGAAACAGAAAACTGTAGTTTAACATTGAGAAATGAGGGAGATTAACTTTAGTTCTCAGTCTCCCAAATGATACTAATTTTTCTGCCAAAACAGGTTTGCTTGTCACTTTGCTTAGTCATTGGACAAACACAGGCTTTTAGGTAGTTAAGAAGGAGGGGGTCCAGTCCTTACCTTGTGTTCTGGAGTTCCTCGCTGAACTCTTTTGATCTCTGCTCCCAGCTCTATGAACCTTTGGCTTGCAGCACCAACACGGGAATGGAGGATTCGATATTCAGCATAATCTGTCTCAAAGTCCTGCTCATAGGCCTGTTGCTGCTCTGCACTGTTAATGGCCCTGTATTGCCTGCCAGGAGAATTGTCACTTTCAACCTCATTGCCCCCAAAGCCCTCTGCTTCCAGGGAACGTGTGTGTGTTGGTTGTGTGTGTGTGTGTCAGTTGTGCCTGGACTCGGCCTGGGCGCTGTCCCTAAGCTGCTTTTGCTCAAGGCTAGCACTCTACCACTTGAGCTACAGCTCCATTTCCGGCTTTTCTGTGTATGTGGTACTGAGGAATTGAACCCAGGGTTTCATGTATGCTAGGCGAGCACTCTACCACTAAGTTACCTTCCTAGACCTCCAGGGAACTTACATGTATAAAGCTTGTTGACATTAGGAATGCAGCCAGTGCCAGTGGCTCACACCTGTAATCCTACTCAGAAGGCTGAGAGCTGAGGATAGTGGTTTAAAGTCAGCTTAGGTAGGAAAGTCCGTGAGACTCCAATAAACCAGAAAATTGGAAGTGGCTCTGTGGCTCAAGTGGTAGAGCACTCGCCTTGAGCTGAAGAGCCCAGAGTTCAAGCCCAACGGACTAAAATAAAAAGAAAGTAGAAATGGAGGAACTCACAGAAGGTAATCTGGTGCTTCTTCAGGGCTTGGGGATTCAGAGTCTAGAAAAGAAGGGAGAAAACACAGGTGATTATAGGTCTCCTTTCCACTGTGGTAATTTTACCCTCCTCATTAACTCACCTGCTCCACCTGAGGGACTGTGTTGCAGCCTAGGATCCATGTCTTCATCTTTATCTTCTTCCTCCCAATCTTCTCCCTCTTCTAAATCCCCTTGTAGAAGACCTGGAGATAGAGGCAGAGCTCTGAGCCTCTTCTCTTCTATTTCTTCGGTGGCTTCAGATGCTGTACGTTTCTGTTGAGTAAAAACAACTGTAGCATAAACAGCAAGCCAGAAGCACTTCCCGTTTTGCCCTTTATCCTCCACCAATAAAAAACTTGTCATATATAATCAGCTTATGATTTTTAAATTTTAGCTTAAATGAAGTGTTGGATCAAGACTCAATGCATTCATGAACTATTGAATGACAACTTTTTTTTTCTTTTGGTCCAGTTGTGGGGCCTGAACTCTGGGCCTGGGCGCTGTCCCTCAGCTCTTCAGCTCAAGGCCAGCACTCTACCACTTGAGCCACAGCGCCACTTCCGGCTTTTTTCTTTTTGCTTATGTGGTGCTGAGGAATCGAACCCAGGGCCTCAGGCATGCAAGGCAAGCGCTCTACCACTGAGCCACCTTCCCAGCCCTGAATGACAACTTCTTGTACAACCACTTAAAGACAAGAAAGCTGGGTGCCAGGGACTCATGCCTGTAATCCTAGCTACTCAGGAGGCTGAGATCTGAGGATCATGGTTCAAAGTCATTTCAGATGGGAAAATCCATGAGACTTTCATCTCCAATTATCTATCAATCAAAAACCCAGAAATGGAGCTGTGACAGGAGATGAGTGCTAGCCTTGAGCATTAAAGTTCAGGGACAGTGTTAAAGCCTCAGGACAGAGAAAAAAAAAGTGCCTTTCTGGCACGTGGAGGCCTTGAGTTTCAAACCCTAGTTTAAAAAAATAAACAAGCTGGGAGGCTGGGAAGGTGGCTCAGTGGTAAGAATGCTTGCCTTGCATGCATGAGGCCCTGGGTTCGATTCCTCAGCACCACATAAGCAGAAAAAGCCGGAAGTGGCACTGTGTCTCAAGTGGTAGAGCGATAACCTTGAGCTGAAGAGCTCAGGAATGGTGCCCAGACCCAGAGTTCAGGCTCCACGACTGACCAAAAAAAAAAAAAAAAACAAGCTGGGTGCCGGTGGCTCATGCCTGTAATCCTAGCTACTCAGGAGGCTGAGATCTGAGGATCACAGTTCAAAGCCAGCCCAGGCAGGAAAGTCTGAGACTCCTATCTCCCATTAGCCACCAGAAAACTGGAAGTGGCGCTGTGGCTCAAGTGGTAGAGTGCTTGCCTTGAGCTGAAGAGCTGAGGGACAGCGCCCAAGCCCAGAGTTCAAGTCCCACGACGAAAAAAGAAAAAAAAAGTGCTCTTTGAAGAGCCCTTGCCATTGTACCTTACCTTGTCTAGACGTTTCTGGCTCGCGGAGGGCTGTGCCTGATCAAGTTCTCTGTTTGGAGGGTGGGTCTGGTTCCTAGGATATTTAAAGAAGGACCAGGGTAGGACATGAGCCCAGACGTGTTATGGCATTGAAGGGTGGAGATGCGACCAGTCCTTCCCCTGGTCCCACCCTCTCCAAGTACCTCACTTCCCACGGTGTCATGTGTTCACTAGAGGATCCTGGGAGTGGCTGTTGGGCATTGCTTGTCAATGGGTCTGACACCTGGCAGGGAACGTGCAGGGAACACGTGGCCCCTCAAACTTCAGGCTTTGCCTTACTTTGCACCAACTCCCCGCAGTTTCTAGCCTCACCTGTTGGACAGCCACCTCTGGCTGTGCCCCGGCATCTCCGTCACCTTCAGAATAGTCAGCCCGGTTCTGCCAACTCCCAGGATCCCTCACAACTTCAGTCAGATGTCTGTGAATGGACAATGGGCCTGGGATAGAGTCCATGGCTGCCCAAATGGTCAGACGTTCCCTGAGTGTGCCCAGGCAGTGGAGGCGGTTAGGCCCAGATCTGGAAAGAGTCACAGACATACAGACACACACACAAGGGCGGAGGAGAGCTTTTATGAGAACCTCTTCACATTCCCCTCTCCCCAACCCTCTCCTCCTGCAATGTGCTCCCTCTTACCTGCCTAGGCGTTGGCACACCAGGTCCAAGCCGCCTCCAGTGCCCTCCTGGCCACACTGGGACACTGTGAAGGAGAAGAGGCAGGACCAGCCAGGACCTGGGATCCTCAGATACTGGGGTGGAAGCAGCGAGTAAACTTCATGAAGCCCACCCCTCCCCCTCCTGCCCATGCCACTGGGAGGGGGGGAGAGGAGAGAGAGAGAGGTGCAAGCGAGGATCCCAAGGGGCTCGTTAGCGCATCAGGTGCAGTGGGGCCTCAGTTCCCCCAAGAGGCTGAGAGGGCACGGTCCCCTCCACCGCAGCCTCCTGGGATTACAACCCCAGCAGCCCCCACACATCCCGCTGGGGGGGGGCTCAGTTCTCGGAACTTCCCCAGACCGTGACCCCCCCCCCCACTCGCCATCTCAGGCTCTGATCGCGTCCACCTTCCGGGAGCCCGGGCTTGTGCGGCTCTCCTCCCCGCACTTACCCCTCGGGGGCCTTGGAAAGCGATCACCGGCCGGACCTGCGGGGAGAGCCCGGCTGAGCGGTGTCCCCCAGCTCGGCTGTCTAGGGGGGAGGGGGGAGGGGAAAGTAGGGGTGCCGAGCTGGGTGCGGGGTGGGGGGGGGAAACACCTGCTTCGTGGGCTTCCCTGGCAAGGAATGGGTGGTCCGGAGTCTGCGGGAGCCTCTGTTCTTCCCCAGGTCCCGACGACAGCCGGGGATGGAGGAGGAGAAGGGTCGGGGCTGGGGGTGAGGGGACGCACCTGTTGCCGCAGACAGTCTTGCAGCGCCCGCAGCGCCGCGTCGTTGAGCCGGAGCAGTAAGAGGCTGGTCCGTGCCGCAGGGGTGAAGCAGAGCCGGAGTTTCCCACTTAGAGGTTCTTGGGGTCCCTCCATGGCGGCCGGGTCGAGCGCAGAAGCCGAGCGAGGTGGGCTACAGTAGGCGAGGGGACTCGGCCGCCACCTTTGCAGTCAGTGCCCGGACTCCGGCGGCACGCCCGGTAGCCCAGGTCGGCCCCGCCCTCCGCCCGGACCACGCCCAGGACACGCCCCCAGCCAGAACCCCGCCCCGTCCGCCAGGCCCCGCCCCCTGCCGAGACTCCTCCGGGTCCGCCTCAGTAGGCTCCGCCCCCCTCTGGCCAGGCTGCCAGGTGCGTTCCCAGCCAGGTGGGCGGTGCCCCCCTCCTCCCGCCCTTGGGGGTACGCCGGGACACCGCCGCTCACACTCCCACCCTGAACGGCCGGGGTGACTTCCTCACCCAGCGCTCTCAGCCCCGCCTCCGTTTCCGCAGTCCTCCTGAACTCGAGAATTGCCGTCGGTTAAGTGCGAAGCCTGAGCCTGCCACCCTCCAGAGGGATTCAGCCTGGGAGGCTGAGCCGGGAGAGCGGCCCGGGTGGGTCGGCGGGCTGGGTCCTGTGTGCCTCTGAGACCGTGAGCTCCCTCCCCCTCCTCCCTGCCCACCTCCCTCCCCCTACCCCCTCCCTCACCCCCTCCCCATCCCCCCCCCCACACCGACACCGACCAGACGCGGGGGGCAACCCGGCCACGCGGCGCCTTTGCTTCTGCCACCCGCGGTGCTGCCCCAGATCCGAACCTGGTTTCTGGACAGGCTGTGTCCCGCCCGGCGGGGAGGTCGGGGGGGGGGGAGCGGGGAGAGCGACCCCTATCGACGGGCGTGGGGGGTCTAGGGTGTGAGTGGCAGCCAGAGAGTTGCTGGGCCCCGAGATCCTCACACCTCAGCCCCAGGTGTTACCTCCGGGCACAAACAGATGTGAACATGGCCGGAAAAGCGGCTGGCTCACCCAGGGCATGCCGAAAGCACAGGTGCCTGGAGCAGCGAGACTCCGGGGTTAGTCCCAGGCCAGCTCGTGGGGTCTCCCTATTTTTAATTTTTATTTGTGTGTGTCCCTATATTGTTGTTTCCTGAAATCCGAACCAAGACTTCGCTGTTAAACCCCCAGACCTGCACGATGATCTCTCAAGAGAACTTAACGCTCTGCCTCAAGTCAGATTACCCATATACAGTTGTCAAAACTCATCCATTACACGCAAAATGTGTACTGTAGCCAGGCATGGTGGTGTACATCTTTAATCCCAGCGCTTGGAAGACCGATAACAATTATTTCCATTTTCAGTCCAGCCTGGTGAGATCTTATCTTAAAACAATAACAACAAAACAGTGTGTACTTTATGTACAGCATGCCACAGTAAATGAGTTCTCAGGTCATTGCAATAAACTACCAAGCACCACAAAAACATTTACCTGTCCATCAGTTTCCTCAGTTTCTCTGGGGGACAAATTTGCTAAACATGGTCATGAGTGAAGCTGGTCTCCCAGACTTCCTTTTCTTCTCAAATGACATCTGTGGCCTTTTCCAAAAAAAAAAAAAGATTGTTCTGCTCATGCCTGTAATCCTAGTTACTCAGGAGGCTGAGATCTGAAGATCAGAGGTTCAAAGCAACTTAGGCAGGAAAGCCTGTGAGACTTTTTTTTTTGGGGGGGGTCCAGTCATGGGGCCTGAACTCTGGGCCTGGGTGCTGTCCCTCAGCTCTTCAGCGCACACGGCCAGCGCTCTACCACTTGAGCCACAGCACCACTTCTGGCTTTTTTCTTTTTTGCTTATGTGGTGCTGAAGAATCGAACCCAGGGCCTCATGCATGCAAGGCAAGTGCTCTACTACTGAGCCACCTTCCCAGCCCATCCGTGAGACTCTTATCTCCAATAAACCACAAGAAAAACCAGAAATGGCACTGTGGTTTAAGGGGTAGAGCGCTATCCTTAAGCTGAAGAGCTGAGGGACAGCACCTAGGCCCAGAGTTGAAGCCCCAAGACTGACAATAAAAATAAAATAATTACCTTGACACTCAAAAGGACAGACTAGAATGGTGAAAATGTCTGGGGAAGTGGGGGAGGGGGAGAAGGGCATGAACTCCCACTCTTTGATCAGCATGTTCCTGTCCCAAAACTATTCTCATTGTTCTACCTCATATCTACCTCCTCACCACAAGGATAACCACCAGATCCATCAGAGCATTGCTCTGAGATATTAATCATGAGCCTAAGGAGAAAGACACAGACCCTCTCTGTTGGACAAGCTGTGAGATGTAAGAGCAGGTAGTGGCCATCTCTTATCATGTCAAGGAATGTGAGTGTAAGCCAATGAAGCAAAGAGACAAGGAGGTATTGCTGGGGTCACTGGTTTCTGTTTCTGATATTCAGCCACAGCCTAGCCTATTCACTAGTTTAGTTATATTAATTAGTAAGCCAACAAATTCCTGTTTGTTCAAATGGGTCTAAACGGGATGTTTCAGTTACCTGAAACATCCAAGCATCTCACTTGTCTGCTGATCTCCCTCATCCATCTGTTTTGTTGTAATCCATTTACTTTTTTCCAGTCGTGGGTCTTGAACTCAGGGCCTGAGCATTGTCCCTGAGCTCAGAAGAGCTTAAGGCTAGCACTCTATCACCTTGAGCCATAGGGCTTTTCAGGTGGTTAATTAGAGATAAGAGTCTCTGAGACTTCCCTGATCTGGCTGGCTTTGAACCGAGATCCTCAGATTACAGTCTCCAGAGTAGCTAGGATTACAGGAGGGAACCACCCAGTGCCCTGCTGTAATCCATTCTGTTCCTTCCAGAGTGATTTTTGTCAATTTATATCCTGTTGATGTAAGGATGGATTACACTCCCAGACCTGTCCCTTTGTAGTGTTTTTTTTCTTGGAAAAATTATTTTTGATACTTCAAAAGGTAATTGTGGGGAAGGGGGGGAGGCTGGGAATGTAGAGTGGTAGAGTGCTTGCCTAGCATGCATGAAGCCCTGGGTTCAATTCCTCAGTACCACATAAACAGAAAAGCCAGACGTGGTAGAGTGCTAGCCTTGAGCAAAAAGAAGCTCAGGGACAATGCCCAAGCCCTGAGTTCAAGTCCTAGGAATGGAAAAAAAAGTAATTGTGTGAGCGGGCTTAAGTATTAGAGCACCTGCCTGGCAAATGCAAAGCCAATACCCATTTGGGCCTGGTTTGGTGGTGCTCATCTTTAATCCCCAAACTTGGGAGGTTGAGACAGGAAGATTACAAGGTTGAAGACATTTTGGGCTACATAATAAGTTTTGTGTTGCAAAGCTAGGGGCTGTCTTTAAAAAAGAATTAAAAAAATATATATATATATGCGCTGGGCGCCGGTGGCTCATGCCTGTAATCCTAGCTACTCAGGAGGCTGAGATCTGAGGATCACGGTTCAAAGCCAGTCCAGGCATGAAAGTCCATGAGACTCTTATCTTCAACAAAACACTCAGAAAAAACAGAAGTGGTGCTGTGGCTCAAGTGGTAAAGCGCTAGCCTTGAGCTGAAGAGCTGAGGGACAGTGCCCAGGCCCAGAGTTTAAGCCCCATGACCGACAAAAAAAAAAAAAAAATATATATATATATATATATATGTGGGCAAGATGCCAGTGGCTCACACCTGTAATACTAGCTACTCAGGAGGCTGAGATCTGAGGATTGCAGTTCAAAGCCAGCCCCGGCAGGAAAGTCCAGGAGACTCTTATGTGGCACTGTGGCTCAAACGGTGGAGTGTTCCCCTTGAGCTGAAGAACTGAGGGACAGCACTTAGACCCAGAGTTCAAGCCCCAAGACCGACCAAAAAAAAAAACAGCCAGCCTGGGCAGGAAAGTCTGTGAGACTCTTAGCTCCAATAAACCAATAGAAAACTGGAAATGGTGCTGTGGCTCAAGTGGTCGAATGCTCGACTTGAGCTGAAGAGCTGAGGGGCAGCACCCAGTCCCAGAATTCAAGCTCCATGACTAACAACAACAAGAACAACAATGTATATATATATATTTTTTTACATGAAAAGATATATTGTCCTCACAGAACAGAAATTTACTTCAAAGCACAAGTAAGATCGTCCAATCTTCATTCAAATTATACTGACATGTGTTTTGATGGATCAGTGCTTATGCTTTGCACCCTGTGAAATATTTTGAATATCACCCTGGCATAGAATCTGTTTTTGTCCCTGAAGTAATAATCACAACTTGTGCATATATATATATATATATATATATACATACATATTTATAATTATACAGATATTCATACATATGTCTGTATAATTGTATATATACATACAGATATATGCTACATGTATGTATATTAAACAGTGACATGGAAAGAATAGAAGAAGGAGAAGGGGAAGGGGAGGGATGAAAGAATGGAAGAGAGCTTTTCTTAGCTTGTTTATTTTTTGTTGGTCATGGGGCCTGAACTCTGGGCCTGGGTGCTGTCCCTCAGCTCTCAGCTCTTCAGCTCAAGGCTAGTGCTCTACCACTTGAGCCATAGTGCCACTTCTGGCTTTTTCTGCTTCTATGGTGCTGAGGAATCAATCCCAAGGCCTCATGCATACAAGGCAAGTACTCTATCACTGAGCCACCTTCCCAGCCCAAGCTTTTCTTTTCTATATTGCATGGAAATGAGCAGGGCTGTATGTTTTATCATTGTCTGCCTAATCCCTAATATGATAGTTGGTACATACCTAGTGCACAATGAAAATTTGCTGAATGAATCACCAACGGTGTCTCCTGGAAAAATTAGACTGGAGGTGAGGCTCTCAGGTTGGGTCCTGACAGGAATGAAAATACCTTGGGCACAGTGGGTCTGGTAGGGAGCGTAAAAAAGAAGAGACTGCTTACAGGGTTCTTTCACGTACCGAAACTGCTGAAGGTGGTGAGGTGCCGGGGGCCGTGAACTTGTTTCCTCCCCTAACACTGTTTTACTCATCTGTCTGGCTCACTTCCGCCAGGGGGCTGGTTCTATGGTCTCACTACATGCAAGGGTACACATGCCACTCCATGCATGGGAACATATGGGTTAGGAAGCCAGACAGCGCAAATTGTTTGGTTTTGGGATTTTGTTTTTTTGGGTTTTTTTCCTTTGGCTAGTTCTAGGTCTTGGAACTCTGGGACTAGTCTCTGTCCTTGAGCTTTTTTTTTTTCCCGTTCAAGGGTATTGCTCTTGAGCCATGGCACCAATTCTGGTTTTTCCTGAGTAGTTTATAGGAGATAAAAAGAAAATCTCATGGACTTTCCTGCCTGAGCTGGCTTCGAACCACATCCTCAGATCTCAGCCTCCTGAGTAGCCAGGATTACAGGCGTGAGCCACTGACACCTGCCTCCAAAATTCTTTTTTTACTTTTTTGGCAGTTGTGAGGCTTGAACTCTAGGCCTGGGCGCTGTCCCTTAGCTCTTCAGCTTAAGGCGAGTGCTCTACCACTTGAGCCACAGCACCACTTCCAGATTTTTCTGTGTATGTGATACTAAGGAATCAACCTAGGACTTCATGCATGCTAGGCAAACACTCTACCACTAAGCCACATTCCTAGCTCCCCACCTTCCTCCAAATTCTTCTGAGTTGTAGTCACACTGTTTCTGGTGGTATCTGTAGGTTTCCCCTTCTAGTCCATTTTCCTCTTCTTAGTTGGGTCCTTCTGCTTTACTTCGTCTCAGTGCCTTGGGCTTCTCACTTCTCATTATCTCTTACTTGACTGTCTAACTCTTCTTTTTTTTTTTCTCTCTTTTTTTTTTGTTTTTTTTTGGTCGGCTGTGGGGCTTGAACTCTGGGCCTGGGCGCTGTCCCTCAGCTCTTCAGCTCAAGGCGAGAGCTCTACCACTTGAGCTACAACTCCCCTTTTGACTGTCTAACTCTTAATATTATTTATTTATTATTATTTTTTTTGGTCCAGTCATGGGGCCTTAACTCTGGGCCTGGGCACTGTCCCTCAGCTCTTCAGCTCAAGGAGAGTGCTCTACCACTTGAGCTACAGCGCCACTTCCAGTTTTCTGGTGGTTTATTGGAGATAGGAGTCTCATGGTCTCTCCTGCCCGGGCTGGCTTTGAACCAGGATCCTCAGATCTCAGCCTCCTGAGTAGCTAGGATTACAGGTGTGAGCCACCAGCGCCCAGCTGTAAAGCTCGTTTTCGACATGACAACTTGTACTTCTCTTTGTTGCAACAGGTCCACCTGTATCCTTAAACGACTTTTTTCATTATATTTTTATGTAGTTTCACTTTTGTAGGAAGGTAGAACTGATTTCAAATTTTCTATAAGTATGGAGGTTTCATGTATATCCTTAAGACTGATATAAGCAGGCTGGGAATATGGCTTAGTGGTAGAGTGCTTGCCTAGCATGCATGAAGTCCTGGGTTCAAGTCCTCACTCAGTACCACATAAACAGGAAAAAAAAAAAAGCTGGAAGTGATGCTGTGGCTCAAGTGGTAGAGTACTAGCCTTGAGCAAAAAAGAAGCATAGGGACAGTGCCCAGGACCTGAGTTCAAGCCTCAGAACTGGCAAAAAAAAAAAAAAAAGATGATAGAAGCATGCTTGTACTCCCAGCTACCCTTAAAGACAGGATAATCCAGACTTGGTTGCCAGTCCTAGAAATCTTAGTGATACTCTATTTCAAAAATAAAATACTTAGCCAGGTGCTGGTGGCTCATGCCTATAATCCTAGCTACTCAGAAGGCTGAGAGATGAAGATCTCAGTTCAAAGCCAGCCTGGGCAGAAAAGTCCTCGACTCTTATCTCCAATTAACCACCAGAAAACTGGAAGTGGAAATGTGGCTCAAAGTGGTAGAGCACTAGCTTTGAGTAAAAAGAGCTCAGGGACAGAAGCCAAGCCCTGAGCTGAAGTTGCATGACCAACCAAAAAACAAAACAAAATGAAAACAAAAACCAAAAAACCAAACTGGAGCCTGTGTATTGATAGCTTACGCCTATAATCTTAGCTACTCAGCAGGCAGGGACGGAGAGGATGGAGACTGGGAACCAGCTGGGCAGAACACTCCACAAGACTCCATCTCTAAAATAATTGGCAAAAACTTGGGCTGGAGGCATGGTAGAGTGTCAGTGATCAAGTGTGAGGTCTCGAAATTAAGGCCCTAAAGTCAAGGCACTGGTACTAGCAAAATAAATATTGGGCTGACTCAGTAGTAAAGTTTCTGCCTGGAAAGCTGAAAGACCTGAGTTCAGATTCCAAACAAAAGCAAAAAGAATCCCCAGTGACTCATTAAAAAAAAAATCTTGTTTGTTTGTCTTTGGGAGGGTAGGTGGGGGCACAGAAATGGAGGGACAAAGGGGGAACAATTTAGCAGTGGTGCATATTAGGCACTATGTTGAGAATGAACTATAAAACTTGTGGGTGGGGATTGGGAGGGAAAAACTGGGAGAGAGGGAGGGAAGGAGTGACATCCAAAAAGAAATGTGCTCTTTACCCAATTTATGTAACTGTAACTCTTTTGCACATCATCTTTTTAATAACAATAAAAAAAACTAAGTAATAAAAAGAATGTATCTGGGGCTGGGAAGGTGGCTCAGTGGTAGAGCGCTTGCCTTGCATGCATGAGGCCCTGGGTTCGATTCCTCAGCACCACATAAGCAAAAAGAAAAAAAGTCACAAGTGGTGATGTGGCTCAAGTGGTAGAGCGCTAACCTTGAGCTGAAGAGCTGAGGGACAGCACCCAGGCCCAGAGTTCAGGCCCCATGACCCCCCCCCCCCCAAAAAAAAGAATGTATCTTTAAGAAGAGCTAGTGTCAGAAATTAATGGTGTAAGAGGGCTTAGCTGATGTGTGGTAATCAAGTGGGAAATTCCAAACTTATTTGTTTAAACATTGCATATATTTCATGTGGATATCAGCTGGCTTAAAATTATGTCACTTGAATTTTTTTCTTTTCCTTTTTTTCTTTTTGCCAGTCCTGTGGGTTGAACTCAGGGCGTGGGCACTGTTCCTGAGCTTGTTTTGTTTAAGGGTAAGACTCTACCGCTTGAACCACAGCACCACTTCCAGCTTTTTCTGTTTCTTGTGGTGCTGAGGACTCAAACCCAAGGCTTCATGCATGCTAGGCAAGCACTCTAACCACTAAGAAACATACCCTGAAATTATGCCACTTTTCATAAGATGTACAAGAAAAGCCAGGCGCCAGTGGTTCATGCTTGTAATCCTAGCTACTCAGGAGGCTGAGATCTGAGGATCACGGTTCAAAGCCAGCCCGGGCAGAAAGTCCGTGAGACTCCTATCTCCAATAAACCACGCAGAAAACCGGTAGTGCTGTGGCTCAAGTGGTAGAGCACCTGCTTTTGACTTGAAGAGCTGAGGGGAAGTGCCCAGGCCCAGAGTTCAGGCTCCATGACCGACCCCCCCCAAAAAAAAAAAAAAAACCAAAAAAACAAGAAAGCAAAATTTTAGAAACTGCTGGAGAGACACAGAGAGACAGAGACACAGACAGAAAGACAGAGAGACAGACAGAGATATACTGATAACAATTCTTAGTAATATTAGGTCAGGAGGATGGTATTGAGGTTCTGCTTCCCACCAGCCTCAAGGTGGTTTTGTCTGAGGTCAGTTGGAGATAAGAGTCTCCCAGACTTTCCTCCCTGGGCTACCTTCCAACTTTTGATCTGGAGCGCTCACCCCCTGGGCTAAGTCTGGTATCTCAGGAGCCCGAAGATAAGTGGAAGTGAGAGTGAGGAAAGTTCACAGTTAGTTTCGAGTCCTCCGGAACTTTCTCTCACAAACCCGTTCAGACGGGAAACGTGTACTGAGGCCTTCAGACAGCCAATGTCGGTCACTGTCCCCAACGCCACGGGCTGTGCTTTCTGGAGCCTTCGAGTCCTCTGATCTTCACATCCAGAGTTCCACGGGGAGGCTGGGCGCTCGGTGCGCAGCCGCCGGGAGCCCGGGGTCCCGTTCCCAGCCCGGGGTGGGGGTGGAGGTCTCTTCCCTTCCTCCCTCCTTTCTTTCGGCCAGTCACGGCCGGGGCGCCGTCCCCGAGCTGCCTTTGCTCCAGGCTAGGGCTCCACCACGGAGCCACAGCGCCGCTTCCGGCATTTTGGTGGGTAATTGGCGAAGGAGAGCCTCGGGACACCTCTCCCGCCCGCGGTGGGCTTCGAACCTCCGTCCTCAGCGCTCAGCCTCCCAGAGCAGCGCGGATGACAGGCTCGGCGCCCGGCCCGCCGCGGACTTGTGACGTGGCGTTTCCTCGAAGTGCGCCGGGAACGTGCTGGGGGGGGGGAGGGAGATGGGCCGTCCGGGGCAGCACCGCCAACTTCGGTTCCAGAGTTCGGACAACAGAACCGGAGGAGCCACCCAGACCCTCCGCCTCACGCCCTCCCCCCCACCCCACGTTCCTTCCGGTGCGTGTGTGGGTCAGTACCCCAAACTGTCCCGGCGTGAGGTCACTTGGCCCCCGCGTCACGTGCTCCGGCCCACGCGAGCGCCACATCGCCAGCCGCACCCCTCCACCCGCCCCCACCCACCGCCGCCCACGTGACCCGGCCTAGTTTTTTTTTTATCCCCCCCCTCAAGCCCCGCCCAACGCCTCGGCCAGGAAGCCCCGCCCTACGCCTGGCGCTCCGCCCGCGAACCTCCGCCCGGACTCGCGCGTAGTCCTGAGCCTCACGTGTTTCGCGTTGTCCAATCGGCGTCGGCGCCCGGGGCGTGAGGGGGCGGGGGAGGAGGTGGGGGGGGAGACGACTAGGTTGCGTTGCACGAAAAGGGGCGGGGCCTGCAACGTCGGACAGAGCGAGGGGACGCAACGGAGGCAGGCCGGAGCCGCTGCCGTCGCCATGACCCGTGAGCACAGAGCCCCTTGCCTTTTGCCCTTTTCTTCCCGGTTCGCCCGGAGGATGACCGCCGAGCCGTCGGCTTTGACCTCCCCGGGGTGGGGGGGGGCTTCCGCAGCGAGGGTTTTCTCGGGGTGCACTCCTTCGCTGCCCTCTCACTGGGAGCCTTGCCCACCCCTACTTCTGGAGACCCCCCCCTTGTTAGGCGTAGGCCCTCCTCGACCTTCCCGGCCGGCGGGGGGGGGGGAAGCCCGGCACCTCCTACTCCAGAATCCCGCCCAATCCCCCCCCCCAGCCCCGGGACTCTTAGGGTCCATGCACCCCGCACCACCTGTCCGTCCCCCCACCTCCCCGAAACTTGAAACACGCCTCTCAGGAGCCGCCTGGGTCGGGCCGTCCTTCCTCCGCCCCGCAACTTGACCCGCTCCGTGGCCAACCCACCCTTCCCCCCGAGCTGGGCCGGGATTGCAGCCTTGGAGTTGGGGAGAGGAGGGTCGCCCATGGGTGTGTGTGTGTGTGTATGTGTGTGTGGGTTCAGGGCGGCCCCGTTGCCTCACTTTTCTTCCAACCTTCTTTCCTTAGGCGGTAACCAGCGTGAGCTCGCCCGCCAGAAGAATATGAAAAAGCAGAGCGACTCGGTTAAGGGAAAGCGCCGAGATGATGGGCTTTCTGCTGCCGCCCGCAAGCAGAGGTAGCCCCAGGGAGGGGAGGGAGAGGGCTGGGATCGGGACTGGATGGGACGCGGGGGGGGGGGGGGGGAAAGATCTGGGTTCAGGAAAGGTAACAACTACATAAGAGAGTTAACTTCAGGGCGCGAATCCGGATTTGTCGTGAGGGGCCGCGACTGCATTGCTTCCTCTAGGGTTTTATTTCCTCCCCGCTCTCCAAAATTGTTAGGTCACAGCCATAACAGGAAGGGACGGGGGGGGGGGGCGGGTCCCCTGTCCTCTCAGTCTGTGTTCTGATTGCCCCTGGGTGTGACCTGAAGGGCACGGGCAGGAAGCTTTGAGGATCCGGTACAGTTGAGGTGGTGACTGCCCTAGTACTTTTGTCCTTCCTTGCTGTTCATTTCTCCTCCCTTCTCCCAACTTTTGTCACTAGTGTTCCTGGGTGTGGTACTCCACGCAGAATAGTGAGCCTTGGGCCTGTATGGCCAGACTTCTGACCAGTTGGGGCAACAGCCTGACGGAGACTGGTTGCCTTTTGAACCTCAGGGCTATTTCTCTTGTTCTCCTAGGGTGGGAATACTGCAGCCATATGCTGAACTATGTCCCATCCACTTCTATCTCATCCTTTGTGCCCTTCGTCCCCTTGCATCTTGTCCCTTTTGCCCTCTGGTACCTCCCAGTGCCCCATCATCTCTACCCCCAGGGACTCGGAGATCATGCAGCAGAAGCAGAAAAAGGCAAACGAGAAGAAGGAGGAACCCAAGTAGCTTTGTGGCTTCGTGTCCAACCCTCTTGCCCTTCGCCTGTGTGCCTGGAGCCAGTCCCACCATGCTCGAGTTTCCTCCTGTAGCGCTCACAGGTCCCAGCACCGATGGCATTCCCTTTGCCCTGAGTCTGCAGCGGGTCCCTTTTGTGCTTCCTTCCCCTCAGGTAGCCTCTCTCCCCCTGGGCCACACTTGGGGGTGAGGGGGTTACTCCTTCCCAGTGTTTTTTATTCCTGTGGGGGCATACCCCGAAGTATTAAAAGTAGCTTTGTAATTCCTTGAGCGCCTGGTTTGACTGGGGTTTGGGGGGATGGGGATGGAGAAATGATTGCCCTTTCCCACCAGAAAGGGAGAGCTTTTTAGACTCCTGAGATTATGGATATATATAGAGAGAGACCTAATAAGTGAGACATCACAGAAAGAAGTTTTATTTTACTATGATGGCCAGAAAAGCACTCCAGGTATGTGGTAGAGGAACCCTTTAAGAACCATCGAGACTTATTTTCTGTAATTTTTGTCCCCCACACCAGTCCAGGATGAAGTCGAGGGCCTAAGAGGGAATGCTCCAGGACCTAAGTTGATACCTCTCTTCCTCATTCTTCCTTAGTTTGTTTGTCTGCTTGAAAGTTGGCCAAAAAGTCCTGCTGTTCGCCCACTTCCTGAGGTTAGTTACTCTCAGTGTTGTTCACATTCTCTTCTGTCATTCCTCATGGAATGAGGGTGGTTTTTGTCTTCCCACTTCCCTTGACCTCAGAGTCAGGACTAAAACCTAGGATAGCCTCTGTGCTCCTTTCTTCCTGTGGCCTGGTTTGTTCTGCGGTTCTGGGCTTCTTACATCCCTGCGCCCAGGGCTGAACTGCTTATTTATTTGCAAAGGCAAAGACAATCTTGAGTCCTTGTTGGTCTTTCCCCACCCCCACCAGGAGCCAGGAAAGGGCTGGTGCCATAGTGTCTGCTAGGATCAGCAGTGGTTCCTGAGCTGCTGATTTGAGAGTTAGGCTCTTAAACTGGGATGAAGACATAACGGGTAGCTTCATTTAGTCACATACTGCCTGTAGCATTAACGTGTCTTTGACCACTTTTTCCAATTAAATGTAGTATTAAGTCTAAGGGGATATAACTTCCCTTTCTGCTCTTGGGGTGCTGTGCTGGGCAGCTCCCTTAAGCCAAGACTAGGGAGCACAATATTAAGGGAATCCCAGTTTGTTGTTAAAACTCCTAGACTGGAGGCTTTTACCCACTAATACTGATGCGATGCCTGAAGATAAGAGGGTGCTGAGGATTCTCAGTAGGAGACGAACAGATTGGTGCTAGTAACAACACCAGGTAGAGGAGTACACAGGCCCAGCATGAGACCACCTTCACCCAGAAGGTGGCCCAGCTTCCCTTGGTGAAGGTCTCCAGTTCTGCTCCTTCATAGCTGTGGAACCAAAGACTTGTTAGAGAACATGCAGGATCTTAGCTTTTAGACTATTCTACCTCCCCACAATCATGGGCAACCCTTGGTATGCTCTTGAATTTTTGATCTCCTCCCCCTCCCCCCCAAAAGCAAGTTTTTTTAGGAGAGTATCTCGGGCCTACCTTTATCCTACCTGAACCAGTTGGTAAGAGTAACCATTACATAGAGTGAAGCAAGGAAAAAGACGAAGTGGAAGGCAGAGTAGCTGTAGGGAAGATGCTGGGCTTGTACTGGAGTTGCCGGAAGGTGGTCTTGGTCAGCTGGCCTAGCTGTTCCACCCTTTTGGCCTGCAGAGAGGAAGAGCTATTGGGAAGCAGGGCTACAGATCTGAAGCCCTGCTTCCCTCTCCCCCCAGCTACTCACGTAAGCTCTTAAGGGCTACAGAGTTTTATCAGTTCCTAGGAGGTTCATTTGACACTCACCATTCTCTGGCTCTGCCGATTCTGGGCAACAGAAACAGAGTGAGGGCTTCTGCAAAACAGGGTAGCCTGATTTAGAATTCCTTCAAAAGAATGTCATGTTAATCTAGAAAACTCCCCTTTGAAAAAATGAGTTTGAGCGAAGAAGTGGAGGCATTATCTGGGTTCAAATTCTTGCTCCAGCATATAACTGGCTATGCAAACTTTGGTAAGATGTTTAATCTTTTGTGCCTCAATTTCTCCATTTGTAAAATGGATGGAGCAAATATCACCTACCTCACAGGGTTGTTGTGAGGATTAAATTAAATGAGATTATGTATGTAAAGTATTTAGCACAGTGCCTAGCCCATTGTGGGTATTCAATAAAAGGTAATAGCAGCTAGAATCTGAGCATTCTGGGTATAGAGGTTGGTAGGCTGTGTGTGTGTGTGTGTGTGTTTGTGTGTGTGTGTGTGTGTGTGTGTGTCTCTGTTGGGGGAAGGGTTTGGGGGATATTAAGCTTTTGCTCCTCACCTGGAACTCGTAGCTGTAAACCTTGATTATCCACAAGGGCCCAAATACCTCAGCCAGGAATGAAGCCTCATTGCTGGGAAAGAAGAGTTCTCAAGCTGGTCAACTCAGAGAGGTTGAAACCAGCTAATCCATGTAGATGAATTATAGGAAGGTACTTTTCACCAAAGATTAAGTCTGCTAATATGAGGCCCTGAAAGCCTAAAATTCTCAAGTCATTTCCCCCTTCCCCCGTCTTCTCTTAACAGATCATCTGACAAAGTGCTATTCTTAGAAGTTGTCCCTGTTCATGGAGAGATTTTCTCCTAGTCTTGCTGTTATGTTTAAGTAAACCAGGGCCCTAGACATTCTCCTGATTATCTCTCCCTCTCCTGGGGATTCTCCCTCAGCTCACACCTCTCCCCTTGACACCTTTACTCACCAAGCAAAAAGCACACAAACATACATGATGGCAGCACTTAACACAGCTACTGAGGTATCTGGTACTTGGGGTTCCATTTTACTCAGACCAGGAAGGCACAGGGTATGATTCTGTCCCTGAAGGAGAACTGGAGAGGGACGACAGAAGAGAAAGGCGTTAAGAACAAAGTAGAACAAGTTTTAGCCCCAGTATTCCAGTTCTTGTCCCTTACCTCTCTCTGGAGGGCGGCTGGACAGTGCAGAGAAAGTCAGATACATGATATAGCAGCTGATGATTGAGGCTTGTAGAAGGCTAGAGCGGGGTTGCTCTAGGATGAACAAGTATCATTGCTTTAGTTTAGAGGGCAGTGGTAATTTTCTCTCCTGCCTCCCTTGAGGGAAGCAGATTGTACCAGACTACTGAGATTGGGAAGGCTAATGAGGTTTGCTGTAATACTAAATGGAGTTTTTGAAAGCTGGAACATAATAGGGTGTATACCCACTGAGGCGGATGCAAGGGGTGATGGAGAGGAAGGACAGGAGGCCGCAGAAGCAGATGTTGAGACTAAGCAGCATCTTGTTGAGCAGGCAGCCTGTGGGATGTGTGTAGTGGTGAAACAAGAGCACAGTTCCTATGGCTGCCACGCTGTAGAATCCTGTGGTAGCCAGCAGCACAGCTAGGAACCAGCTACAGTCTTGGGCTGCACCTGTCTGCCTAAGGAGGAGAAATGGGAGGTGGTTTAGGGTCCAAACTCTTTGTTTTTATCCACTATGAACTGTTCTACCTCTCTCCAGAAGACTGGTGTGATTACTTATCCCACTCTCTGAGAATCAAACATGGTTTTTTGTGTTTTTTTTTGGTGGGTCTTGGGGCTTGAGCTCAGTTCTGTCCTGGAGCTTTTGTGTAGAAGGCTAATGTTCTACCACTGGAGCCACAGTTCCACTTTTTTTCAGTCGGTCATGAGTGTGAACCCTGGGCCTGGGCGCTGTCCCTCAGCTCTTGAGTTCAAGGCTAGCAATCTACGGCTTGAGCCACAGCGTCACTTTCGGCTTTTTCTGCTTTTGTGGTTCTGAGGAATTGGACCCAGGGCCTCATGCATGCAAGGCAAGAACTCTACCACTAAGCCACCTTCCCAGCCCCCACAGCTCCACTTTTAACTGTTTGGTAATTAACTGGTGATAAGAAACTCAGACTTTCCTGCTCAGGGTTGGCATCAAACCTCAATCCTCAGATCACAGATCTTAGCCTCCTGAGTAGCCAAGGTTATAGGCGTGAACCTCGCATCACCTGTTTTTTGTTGGTCACCACCAACTGAACTCAGGGCTTCATGATCTGCCTTTTTTTTTTTTTTTTTTTTGCCACTCCTGGGGCTTGAACCCTGTTAGGGTCTGGGCACTGTCCCTGAGCTTCTTTGCTCAAGGTTAGCACTCTATCACTTGAGCCACAGTACCACTTCCAGCTTTTTCTGTGTATGTGGTACTGAGGAATTGAACCCAGGGCTTCATGCATGCTAAGCAAGCACTCTACCACTGAGCCACATTCCCAGCCTCTGATCTGCCTCTAGCTACTCCTCCAACCTGGCTTTTTCCTATTTACTTTGAGGATGGAGTCTTGTGGACCTTGTGGCTGCAAGCCACGACATTCATTCTCAGTCTCTTGAGTAAGATTACTAGTGCCTGGCTTTTTGTTAAACAGTACTGAAGATTGAACTAAGGGGTTTCCACTTGAACTATGCCCTGTCCCATGCCTGAGGTTTTTGGCAGTGCTCAGTGAGAGGCCATGATCTCACCAGTGACTCACTGTGCTCTTTGCCCAGTCTTCCTGCATCCACTAATACTTGTCAACCTACCTAGGAAGAGCCTTTAAGGTTAGAGTGTAAGTCCCTTACCAGTTCTTGTTCCAGGAGTGAGCAAAGGCTGTGATAAGCACCAACTGCAGTAGGATGAATGTGAAGCCTCCACAGATGCCAATGTAATGCCAGGCTGCAAAATAGGCAGCAGTGGGAAAAATTACCTGGGCATATATCAGTCACTGTGCCTTTTCTCCCCACATTCCCCCTGCCCCCCCCGGCAGTCTTAGGGATTGAACTCAGGGCCTGGGCCTTGTCCTTGAGCTTTTTTGCTCAATGCTGCTGTTCTACCACTTGAGCCACCGCTCCACTTCTGGCTTTCTGGTACTTTATTGTAGATACGAGTCATGTACTCAGGCTTCCAACCATGATCTTGAGATCTCAACTTCCTGAGTAGCTGGAATTACAGCCACAAGCCACTAATACTTGACGCCACATTTTTTCGGTGAAACTGGGATTTGAATTCCTGACACGCTTGCTAGGCAGGTGCCCTAACTGCCAAGGTACACCTCCAGTCCCATTTTTCTGCTGGTAATTTGAGATAGGGTCTTGCTGTAGCCCAGGTTCATGCCTGGGTGCGATCCACCTGTGTTATGCTTTTCAGTAGCTACAATAACAAATGAGAAGGTGTCAAGAATTTTTCTGCCTGGGCTGGCCTTAAACTTTGAATCCAGTTTTCAATAGCTAGTATGACAGGAGTGAACCACTCAAATCTTGCTCTTTTTTTTTTTTTTAAACATACCCAGGCTGGCCTTGAACTTAATGATCCTTCTGCCTCAGCCTCCAGGGTATTGAGATTACAAGTATGTGTCACTACACCTGGCTCTCTGCCCAGTATGTTAGAGAGATTTTTGGCCTACTGCTGGTCAGGGTATGTGAGATGGACAGTACCTGGAAAGAGATGCTCATCTGGGATGCAGAAGGCAACAGCACAGAGGCATAATAGCAACAGCAGCTTCAGGAACCAAAAGCTGATTTGGTGGGGGAGAAGAAAACTAGATTCAGAAGAAAAAGCAAGAGTGAAGAATGCCCATGGGAAAAAGAGGAAAGCAAAACTAGAAGATGAGGGCAAAGAAGAAAATACTAAGTACGGGAAAGGAGCCAGCTCCTAGTGAGAGGGTCTGGGAATATTCATTTCCAAATTAACTCAAAGACACCTGAATAATATCTGAACAACACTTTACACGTCATAAAAGGTTTGCATATAATAACACCATTGTTAGCTCCACTTTGTAGACAGAAGCACTTACAAAAGGGTAAGTATCTGGCTCTCTGCCACTCAGTAAGTAGTGCAATTACTTCATCCTGGAACTTCCTTTATTCAGTTTGTGTGTACTTTCTTCCTCTGTCTCCTCCCCACCCAAAGAGTACACACAAACCTGTTATGCAGTTGTGCCCTTAGGCTGGCGGGGGAGTGGAGGTGGACCAGCAGGATAGCTTGCACCAGGTGGAAGGTAGCAGTTCCTGCACATACTCGGTACACAGCCCCAGAGCCACTGAGCACTGGACAGTCAGGGTGCCCAAAGAGGTGGGCACAGAATGCTGAGGGCATCTGGATCTGGAGGGGGAGGGTGTGTGAGAAATGGCAGGGCAAATCATTACAAATAGGTATCTACTCACTGCTGGGTCCTCCTTTGTCTCCTACCCCAAATCCAAATCTATTGCTGTTTTATTAGTTTTTCTTCTGCCCACTTTGCAGCCAGCCCCCTCCTACTTCATATCTTTATACCTTGCCCCAGACTTTTTCCACCACTGTCCTTGACAGCAGGAGGCAGCAAACTGTTGAGGCCCCCATATGGATGAGGGTGTAGAACAGACGGCTCCAAGTAGACACGGTGAGAGAGGGCCGCCAAAGGTGGCAGCAGCTGGTACAAGGAGCAGGCCCACAGCAGGACACCTAGGGATACAGCAAATGCTGGATAACAAGTTGGAAAATTTCAGGGCATACATTGACTCGTGTGAGGTTAACCCATGAGGCTGAATTCCGGATATTTCCCTCTCTTTGCTCAGGAATTTCGAGCTATTTGGGATTGCCTTCCACTGACCACTAGCAGGGCTTTCAATCCAAGGACTGAGGGAGGATTGAGCTATAAGGTTGGGAACAAGGAAGAAGTTTACTCATTGCTGAGACAAAAAAGACAAAAGGATGCTGGTCGCTCACTGCTGTAATCCTAGCTACTCAGGAGGCTGAGATCTGAGGATTGAAGTTCGAAGCCAGCCCAGGCAGGAAAGTCTGTGAGGTTTTTTTTTTTTTTTTTCTCCAGTCCTGGGCTTTAACTCAGGTCCTGGGCACTGTCCCTGAGCTTCTTTTGTTCAAGGTTAGCACTCCTCCACTTGAACCACAGCACTACTTCTGGCCTTTTCTGTTTATGTGGTACTGAGGAATTGAACCCAGGGCTTTATGCATGCTAGGGCAAGCACTTTACCACTAAGCCACATTCCCAGCCCCAGTGAGACTCTTACCTCCAATAAACTTAAGAAAAAGCCAGAAGTGGTGCTGTGGCTCAAGTGGTGGAACTCTTGCCTTGAGCAAAAAAAGCAGCTCAGGGACAGCTCCCAGGCTGAAATCAGGACTGGCTAAATAAATAAAAGACAAAGGAACAATAGAGAAAAGGCTGCAGATACTGGCTTCGGCAAGTTTTCCTCATCTTCAGCCACATAGTTCCCGGCTTTTCAGAAAGGAGCTTTTAAGTTTTCTGCCCAAATACCCTCTCACCTGATAGAAGGGTGTTTTCACTATGACATTGCTGACTCCCCTGCGCTGCTGTGCCAGGGCCTGTGGGGTGCCATGGTCTGTGACTGCCTTTGCATCCACCATCTTTGTCTCAGGACGAGGCCTAGGTCCACCAGTTGGAATGTAGATGAGAAAGTATCAGCCTCTGACTTCAGCCCATTAGACTGCTTGCTTTGCTGGAGCTGATCCACCAGTCAAGGCACAATGGGGACACCAGGAGATGAGCACACCAATCACCAGGAAGTGGTAAATGCACACGCCCCAGTGGAGGTGCTTGCTGCTTCTAGGGGGCTGCGAGTGGGCCCAGCCGGGCTCTCTCCCCGAGATTAGGGAGTTTGCAGATCCGGCCTCAGGGATTAACGTTCTTAATTGGTTTAGGATTAGTCCTACATCCTGGTTGGCCAGACTTGGGGAGGTGGGTTGTTCCTAGGTGGAGGAGAGGGAAAGGGAAGGCTGTGCGCTGAGGTGGTCTGGAGTGGTTCAGGTTCGGTCTGGAAGACCGTTCAGGAAACGGGAAGAGCCTGGAGGGGCACCAGGCGCACGGCCCTGCGGGGGGGAGCCTGCGGAGCCCGGGCGTGGGGGTGTGGCCCGGCGCCGGCCCCGCCCCCTCAGGGGCGGAAGTTGGTGGTAAGCGGAAGTGATCGCGAGGGGCGGGCTTTTGTGGCGGCGCGGTGCGAGCGGTATGGCGACCGAGGGGGACGTAGAGCTCGAGTTGGAGACCGAGACCAGCGGCCCAGAGCGGCCCCCCGAGAAGCCCCGGAAACATGACAGCGGTGCGGCGGACCTGGAGCGGGTCACCGACTACGCGGAGGAGAAGGAGATCCAGAGCTCCAACCTGGAGACGGTAAGGCGGGCCGGGAGCGTCCGAGCGGGCGTGGGGCGCCGGGCCGCAGCCTGCGCGGGGGAAGCCCGCGCTCCCCGGCGCGGAGGGCCGCGCGCCGGCGCCGAGCCCCCTGCGCGGAGGGCCAACACGCGCGGTCGTGAGCGCGTGCAGCACCGCTTGTTTGGTTGGCCTCTGCCTTCCTCCCTCCCCGGCGTCATGCATCGGTGGGAATTGCGGGGAGTGGAGCCCCAGCCACCAGACCCGTCTTTCCCGTAGGCCATGTCCGTCATCGGAGATAGACGGTCCCGGGAGCAGAAAGCCAAACAGGAGCGGTAAGTTTAAAACACTCAGCCAGCCTCGTCAGCCCGAGTCTCCCTCCCTCCCCAGCAAATATAGTCACCATTGTTAAGCCATACCATCTGCAGTTCTTGTGCCAACTCTAGGCCTTACAACTTTCTTTGTGGAAGGAAAGCCTGCGTTTTTTTTTTTTTCCTTCCTTGTATCTTTGTTTGTCTAGACTTATTTCCAAGGCCAGGTAGGAGTTAATGGTGTAAAGAACAAGGACTAATGCACATAAATATTTTCAGGGAGAAGGAATTGGCAAAGGTCACAATCAAAAAGGAGGATCTGGAGTTGATAGTGAGTAGTAATGTCTAACTAGCATATGGACGGGAGGTTGTTTTGCTTATTTCGGGTTTCTGAACCAAGTGGGGCCAAGATTTGGGTGGCATGTCACGGCTCTGAGGAAACTGAGATAACATCGATCCTTTTCTTGCAGATGACAGAGATGGAGATCTCTAGAGCAGCAGCAGAGAGGAGCTTGCGGGAACACATGGGCAATGTGGTAGAAGCTCTTATTGCCCTAACCAACTGAGAGGTGTTTTCTTAGACATTTTCTGGATTAACTTATTGCAATAAACTTTTTTTCTTATCTTGGATCAGCTACTTTATTTCATTGGAGTATAACGGCAGTTTGTGGTCCTCAATAACCCTTCAATCAATCTATGTGAAGTATTTTATGTTCAGATACAGATGTTCGGTGCCAGGCTACTCTAAGGCATGTCTAGCTTTAGTATGCAATGTACCTTTGGAGTCAGAAGAGTTACTATACCCAGTGGTAGGTGTCTCCAGAAAAGCTTTCGCATTTAACTTTTTGCTTTGAGACTATGTCTTGCTATTTAGCACAAGCTTGTCTCTGAGTGCTGGAATTCCAGATGTGTACCACTTCTTGCTCAGGTCTCCAGGATAGTTTATGAATAGCAGAGACTAGCCTTTTCAGTCTAAAATCTAATTAATTAGAATTTCAGTACTTGAAATGGGAGTTATAGAGTACCTGGCTAGTAAGTGTAAACCTCAGTACATGAAAAAAATTGAACAGATACCTTTATACAAATACTTAAAAAGCTTTATGTATTTAAGCTGGGAACATGGGTATAATAGTGTATTTTTTTAATTACAAAATTACAACAAATTATAACATGTAAGAACTGATGAGCTGGTGAATGCAAAAGCTTTTGACTAGTACCTGCTTGAATATATTCAAATGCAATGATGCTTCACCTAAATAATTTTAAAGCCTTGCTCTCATTTTAAAATTTTGATGCTAATGCCAAGGCTTGAGTTCAGGGTCTTGCTTTCTTGCTTAGCCTTTTTTCTCAAAGCTGAGACTTTGAGCCATAGCTTCAATTTCCTGTTTTTTTTAATTGGTCGCTGAGTTTGAACTCAGGACCTGGGTGCTGTCCCTAAGCTCTTTTGCTCAAGGCTAGTGCTCTACCACTTTGAGCCACAGCACCACCTCTGGTTTTTGAGTGGATCACGAGATAACCTTATGGGGATTCTTTTACCTGGGCTGGCTTTGAATCGTGATCTTCAGATCTGTCTCCTAAGTAGCTAGTGAGCTGCTAGTGCTAGTGCTCAGCATTTTTTGTTGTTGGTCGTGGGGCTTGAACTCTGGGCCTGGGCGCTGTCCCTCTGCTCTTCAGCTCAAGGTGAGCGCTCTACTACTTGGGCTACAGCGCCACTTCCTGTTTTCTGGTGGTTTATTGGAGATAGGAGTCTTACGGTCTCTCCTGCCCTGCCGGGCTGGCTTTGAACTGATCCTCAGATCTCAGCCTCCTGAGTCGCTAGGATTACAGGCATGAGCCACAAGCGCCTGGCTGCCCCTGAACTTTATTACTCATAGCTAGTGCTCTTCCACTTGAATCACAGTTCTACTTCTGGCCTTCCTGGTGGTTAAATAGAGACAAGAGTCTCACAGATTGCTGCCCAGGATGGCTTTGAACCTTGATCCTCAGATCTTAGCCTCAAGTAGCTAGGATTACAGGCATGAATCATCAGTACCTACTTTGCTTTATAGTTAATCCTTGTCAGTTTACACATTTTTCCAGTATGCTAAACATTCCTAGTGTGTGATTCTTTTTATTTGACACACATATACACATCAAATGGACCAAAAAGTATGTTCACTTAGAAAAGGTGACTACCCAAAAATGCAGAATAGCTTTCAATGAGCATAGATTAATAACCACTCCTAACCCTCAGGTAGAAGTAATGCCCTGTCCACTTGCATGCTCACTGACCCAAGTGAAGGTGCTAGAGAAAGAAACTTGAAACAGTCCCAAGTAAATTTGGGAAGTCACACAGAGAAATCTAAGATTTCTCACAAAGTCTTAAGTGGAAGTCTATAAGCCTATCTGGATAGTACTTCTCTGTGGGTTTCTCAATATGAGTCCAGACCACACAAAACACCTTCAATGGCTGGGCGGCCCAAAAGCACAGTAGGGCAGTTATTCCAGCAGGCTGCATACAAAAACCATATAAATGATGGTAAAAGAAAACCAAGGACCAGATGTTGAGACTTCTTGTGTCCACAGTTGGAAGAAATAGCTGAATCTTAGGTGGTTTTCCGCTTCTTGGCTGATGGTCGCTCAAATACATCTCGTACCCCAGCTGCCTTTTGTTTAAAGAACTTAGTGTTCTGGGCACTCTCTTGACCCCAGGCTGAGTCGAAGGAAGTGGTGTCTTGATCCACAAGGTGGGTATATTTGGTACGACCAGAACGTCCAAAGTTCTTGACCTGAGGGAAGAATGGATGATGAGTTTTAGCAGCAAATATGCCTCAGCCCTCAATATGTTTTTCTTTGTTAACAAGGGTCCCCTTACCTGCATGACTTTAGGAAGGATAGTTTTGTTGAAGTGATCCTCGAGAGTTGGTGCACTGAAATCTCTCTTGTATACTTCTTCATCCTCATCCTGTAGAAAAGAAACCAGTCTGGTTTTATTTCTCTAGTATTTAAATGGAAAATATATTAAAGTACAATGCATAAAGGAAGCAGAGGGTATTGAGCCTTTCTTCAAGACAACTGAACTGACCACTTGAGATGAGACTCATCTTCCTGTTATAGTTTTTTCTTCTCAAGTATCGATACTTGAAGGATGGCACTCACTGTGCTTATTTACTCATGTGACTTCAATGCTAAAGACCTCTCAAATCTTCAATTCTAAACTTTCTGATTTGTAGATGTACCTTGGATATTTTATTGGGATATCTGGAGTAAAAAAAAAAAATCATTTCTCCAATCTAAATTGGAAGCTTCTGATGGGACTATCAATGACCCAGACTCAAAGTTTCCGTTACTCTGGGTATATTCAGTGAGTTGCCACATCCTATACTTTTATCTTTTGCTGGTATGGGGGTTTGAACTCAGGTCCTCACATGCACACTTGTCTTGTTAGCTGGGCTGATACTCTAACTTGAGCCTTGCCTACAGCTTAGCTTTTAGCTGGTTATTTTTGGGGCTTGACTTGGGGCCTAGGTTCTGACCCTCGGCAGTTTTTGTTTAGCTGGTTGTTTTGGGAGATGGAGGCTTTTGGAGTTTTCTACCCAAACATGAGTTACTGTACAGCAACTTGCAAAGCTTGACTTATAGCTTATGAAATACTTTTTTTTTTTTGTCGGTCGTGAGGCTTGACCTTGGGCTGGGCGCTGTCCCTCAGCTCTTCAGTTCAAGTCCAGCAGTCTACCATTTGAGCCACAGTGCCACTTCCAGTTTTCTGGTGGTTTACTGGAGATAAGAATCTCACGGACTTTCCTGCCCAGGCTGGCTTTGAACCGTGGATCCTCAGATCTCAGCCTCTTAAGTAGGTAGGATTACAGGTGTGAGCCACCAGTGCCCAGCTACTTACGTAGTTTTGAGAACTTAATTACTTGGGTATCTAGGTAGATTTCATTTGTATGCCATTATTTTTACAGGCTGAGTAAAGTGGAACTATTGCTGCTCCTGACTGCTGCTTCTACAATCCAGTTGCTAATGCTTTTCACTGGATTTATATTCTAAGGCTGGGTAGTGATTCAGGCTTGGCATCTTAGCTATTTTGGAGGCTGAGATTGGGAAAACTGGTTAAAGTCTAGTTTAGGCAAAAAAGTTCATGAGACTCCATCTCAATTAAAAACTTGGATGGTGTGGTAATATGCATGTCACCCTAGCAGGAAGTATAGATAGGCATGGTGCAGGCCAGCTAGACTACCTAAAAAATAAACAGAACAAACAGAGGCAGGGACTTACCTCCAGTGGTAGAGAGCCTTGAGTTCAAACTGTACTGCCCTCAATAATAGCAAAGGGCAAATGGGAAGGCTGACTAAAGGCAAGTGGAAGTAACATTCAATGAGGTTCTTTTCTTTTTTTTGGTCGGTTGTGGAGCTTGAACTCTTTCTTCAGCTCAAGGCGAGCACTCTACTGCTCGAGCCACAGCACCACTTCCAGTTTTCCAGTGGTTTATTGGCTATAAAAGTCTCACGGAGGGGCTGGGAAGGTGGCTCAGTGGTAGAGTGCTTGCCTTGTATGCATGAGGCCCTGGGTTCGATTCCTCAGCACCACATAAGCAAAAAGAAAAAAGCCGGAAGTGGCACTGTGACTCAAGTGGTAGAGCGCTAGCCTTGAGCTGAATTGCTGAGGGACAGCGCCCAGGCCCAGAGTTCAGGCCCCACGACCGGACCTTAAAAAAAAAAAAGTCTCATGGAGTTTCTTGCCTGGGCTGGCTTTGAACCGTGATCCTCAGATCTCAGCCTCCAGAGTAGCTAGGATTACAGGCGTGAGCCACTGGCGCCATGCTCAACGAGGTTATTTTTATCCAGGGACAGAGAATTTAAAAGCTTCTGTGTTTTTCCCACTGGATTTTCACTTACCATGAAGAAGGCACCTCGGTGATAATACTTCTGTAAAAATTTGTATTTGCCTTTAACAGCTTTGTTGGTAATGACTTTGCCATTTGCCCTCAGCTCAGCTCGCCTCTCCTCCTCAGTCAGGTTTCTCATGCGTTCAATTTCTGCTTTCTCCTTTTCAAGTCTGTCCAGAAAGCAAAACTATATATTAGTCTATTTTCAGTTTCAGAAAGGTGCAATTGTCTCAAAACAACATTTCTATTTCCATTCAGTTTACCTTCTTCAATTCTAGTCTTCCTGTAAGGAATTAAGATCAGTTGTTCAATAAACAAAAGCTGAGTTCACTCTCATTATGTTTACTTGATCTGTTACTGAAAACTTAGAAGTTCAGAAATATTACTTGATAATAACTGTGTCTTTGTTGCTGCTCCTAGTGGAAACCTACCATACAATCATCATTAATTATAGTGATTTTTTAACCTTTTCTTTTGGAAAAGTGGTAATACACCATTTCCCCAAGTGTGTTATATACACATAATTTTAATGTGAAAGGATTCAAGGGCTCTTGAAAAGATATGAATATCAGAAACTGAGGCTAATCAGGCGCTGGTGTGTCTCATGCCTGTAATCCTAGCTACTCAGGCTAAGATCTGAGGATCAAGCCAACCCGGGCAAGAAAGTCTGTGAGACTTTTATCTCCAATTAACCTCTAAAAAGCTGGAAGTGGAGCCATGTTTCAAGTGGTAGAGCATTAGCCTTGCACACAAAAGCTCAGGAACAGCACCCAGGCCCTGTGGTCAAGCCCCAGGACTGGCTCTCCCTCCAAGAGAACTGAGGACATTTAATCTATTGATAGTTTTCCTTTGTAATCTGAGATGATCAGATTAGTTTTTTTTAATCTAATCCTTTACAGAAATGGATTCATTGGCTCAGAAATGAATTTATTTTTTGGTCAGTTGTAGGGCTTGAACTTGGGGCCTGGGTGTTGTCCCTGAACTCTTTTGCTCAAGGCTAGTGCTCTACCACTTTGAGCCACAGCTATACTTCTAGTTTTCTGGTGGTTAATTGGAGATAAGAATCTCACAGACTTAAAAAAAAAAAATACTGGTACTTTCCTTTTAAAAAGAAAAAAGCCGGAAGTGGCACTGTGGCTCAAGTGGTAGAGCGCTAGCCTTGAGCTGAAGAGCTGAGGGACAGCGCCCAGGCCCAGAGTTCAGGCCCCACGACCGGACCCAAAAAAAAAAAAAAAATCTCACAGACTTTCTTGCCAGGGTTGGCTTTGAACTGTGATCCTCAGATCTCAGCCTCTTGAGTAGCTAAAATTATAGGCATGACCCATCAGCACCCCGCTAAGAAATGAACTTTAACATTGTAAATGGAGCATATTACATAAGTGCCCAAAATTCTTTCCCTCACAATATGCATGCTCCCTTTTCTTTCCCAGAGAGTCTATTTCTGTAGCCCATAGAGCATGTGCTGGTTTGTTACTTGCTTTGACTATAAGTATGTGGCAACTGGAGACTTTGCCAGCTTCTGCATTTGCCCTTTTGGAGGTATTATATAGGGAGCTCTGGTAAAATCAGAGTAACTGTTCAGATACCCTCTAAAATGAGAGAAATTAAAAGTTGTTTCAGTAACTTGATTCTAGGCTGGGTTGTTAGGCAACAGTGATGACTAGTTAACAGTCATTTTTGTGTCTACTGGGAAACTAAAAGGAGCATTGGCTGGCACTATCCCAAGAAACACCGACAAAACTGTGTTTCTCTCCCCTAACTTCATTGTAACGTTCAGTGAATGGGAATCTTGCTCAGCTGCCAGAACCCTGAGGAAACTGAATGGAACTCCTATATTAAACTATGTGCTGGACCTCAAGGCTGCCCTACTGGAAATCTGTCCATTAGGGACCCATCCTGTTACTCACGCTTCTCGGTCTTCTCGGTCCCTCTTGATTCTTTTGAGTTCTCGAACTTTCCATGCCTCATATTCTTCCTCATCATTTTCATCATCAGTATTGAGAGCATCCAGTGCAGCCAGGGACCGTTTGTTTTCCTCCAGCTCTTTCTTGGTCTCCTCTTCTACAATCTGGGTAAGAAGAATACTTCAGTATTAAGACTTCCTTGACAGACAAACCTCATTACACTAATCCTTGCATTGAGTAATCTTCATAACCACTCCTATTACCTTGAGTGTGTATTTGCGTCTCTCCTCAGCCAAGCGCTTAGCCTCCTGCTCCAGCTCTTTCTGTTTTAGTGCTTCGGCCTCACGCTCTTGAACTGTTACTCGGTCCTTCCTGCATCACAGAGGTCTGTTAATTGCCCAAAGCCCATACCATGGAACTCTGTCCCCTTATGCATAGTCCCATCCAAATAAGACAAAACCAAACAGTCTTTGTTTCTATTATTTGCAGTCAAAGCCAAGAGTCATCTCAGGTCTTTAGAGGACTAAAATTCCATTCAAATACTGTCTATACATGGAACCTGCTGGAATGGTAAGTAGTAGGATTTCAAGGCAGTAGTTCTTCAAGCTTAATTTTGTGCTTTTATATATATATCACAGACTGATAGGTAACTAGAAAGATGTGCAAAACAAACTCAGGCTTTCTGCGGAATGTGGGATAGAAAAGATGTGGTTGTCTATTCAGTCCCGTCCCTCATCCCATGTATACTACTTTCAGTTTTCTGGTGGCTTGAGACAGGAGTCTCCAATAAACTTTTTTTTTTGCCCAGGCTGGCTTTGAACTGTGATCCTCAAATCTCAGCCTCCTAAGACTCTAGAATTATAGGCATGAGCCACTGGTGCCTGCTTGAAAAGATGCTTTCAGTGAGGCCAGAAAACTACTGTGCATTCTGATGTGGCTTATGATGAACTTACTTTCGAATGAAGACTGGCTTAAGGCGAGGCTCCATCTCATCTTCACTGTCTGTATACTCTTCATATTCAGACTCTGATTCTGATTCTTCGCCAGAACGTCCTTCATCTTCTACCTCCATGACTTCCATCTCTTCATTTTTTCTTTCCTGTGCTCGCTGACGCATCATGCCGCGGCGCCGTTCTATTTCCTATTAAGGCATACATACATCCAGGCTAGTTATTCAAACAGAGTTCTAAGATGGTTTTGTTGCTTTTGGTGCTAGAGATTGAACCCAAAGCCTTGTACATGCTAAACTACAAGCTGGGTTATATAGCTTCAACCCCTAGTAGGGCTTTTTTTTTTCCCTTAATAAAGCTCAACAAAACTCAGGCACTGATGGTTCATACCTGTCATCCCAGGTAGGGTTGAGACCTGAGGATTGTGGTTCAAATACATACAGCTGGGGCAGAAAAGTCTCTATGAGACTCTTATCTCCAATTAACCACTCCAAAATTGGAAGTGGAGCCATGGCTCAAAGTGGTAGAGCACTTATCCCTAAACAAAAGAGCTCTTGACCCTGAGGTCGAGCCCACAATGCACAAAAAAAAAGCTTAGCAAGCTTGGCACTGGTGGCTCATACCTATAATCCTAACTACTCAGGAGGCTGAGATCTGAGGATCACGGTTCAAAGACAGCCAAGGCAAAAAAGTCTGAGGCCTTTATCTCTAGTTAGTAGCAAAAAGCTGGAAGTAGAGCTATGACTCAAGTAGTACAGCACTTGAGTACAAAAGCCAAGTATAAGCTCAAGTCCCTACGTACCAGTACCAGCACCATTTTTTAAAAAAAGCTCAATGAATTGTGACAATTAGCCAGTGCAATTTAGCACTATTTTATTTTCAGTTTTATTTGTAACATATAGGAATAATAATCTTGTGTCTTAAAAAATTAGGCAGCCTGGACTGGGAAGGTGGCTCAGTGGTAGAGCGCTTGCCTTGCATGCATGAGGCCCTGGGTTTGACTCCTTAGCACCACATAAGCAAAAAAGAAAAAACTGAAAGTGGTGCTGTGGGTCAAGTGGTAGAGCGCTAGCCTTGAGCTGAGGGACAGCGCCCAGGCCCAGAGTTCAGGTCCCACAACCAGACCTCCCCCACCTCAAAAAAAAAATTAGGCAGCCTGGCACTTCTGGCTCATGCCTGTAATCCTAGCTACTCAGGAAGCTGAGACCTGAGGATCACGGTTCAAAGCCAGCCCGGGCAGGAAAAGCCTGTGGGACTCTTATCTCTGATAAACCACTCAGAAAACTAGAAATGGCACTGTGGCTCAAGTGGTAGAGTGCTCGCCTTGAGCAGAAGAGCTGAGGGACAGCGCCCAGGCCGAGTTCAAGGCCCACGACCGACCAAAAAAAAAGTATTTTTTGGTACCTGAGAAAAATTATTTTCCTTTATCCTACCTCATCATCAATTTCTTCTTCCTCTTCTTCACTGCTATCTTCTCTCTCCATCCGCCAAGCATCTCCTTCTACTTCAGAGTCACTTTCTCCTACCACTTCAGGTTCCACTATTTTCCGATGTCTAGCCAATCTGAAACACAGGACCTTCGAGTATAACACCAATGTCACAGAAATAAAGAATTATCAACCACATTTGTTTAGTTGCAGAGCCCTCTGACATCATTGCTTTCATTAAAACAGAAATACTGAGATGAAATTGAGTTGCAGATGAACAAACTAAGCAAGAATGTCAAGCAAACCGATTTGTTGAATGTTAACTACTTTGTACAACTACTTAAATATAATAAAAATGCAGTCAGTTGCCAGTGGATCACACCTATAATCCTAGTTACTGTAGAGGCTGAGATCTGAGGATCATGGTTCGAAACCTGCCCAGGCAAAGAAGTCTGTGAGACTGTTCACAAGTAACTACCAAAAAGCTGGAAATGTAACTATGGTTGAAGTGGTAGAGGGCTAGCAACACACACACAGACACACACACACACACAGGATGATAATAATAATGAAAAGAATAAAACAGGCTGAGTACTAGTGGCTCATACCTGTAATCCTAGCTACTCAGAAGGCTGAGATCTAAGGACTATGGTTCAAAGCCAGCCTGAGCAGGAAAGTCTGCAAGACTATCTCCAATAAAGTACTAGAAAAGCTGGAAGTGGAGCTATGGCTCAAGTGGTAAGAACACTAATCTTGATTATAAAAGCTCAGGGACAGTGCCCAGGCCCAAAGTTCAAACCCCATGACCAATACACACACAGAAAAAAATGTCAGAGCTGGGCACCAGTGGCTCACTCCTAGCTACTCCAGAGGCATCGAGATCAGCCAGCCTGGGCAAGAAAGTCCCTGAGACTCTTATTTCCAATAAACCACTCAGAAAACCGGAAGTGGCACTTTGGCTCAAGTGGTACAGAGAGCTAGCCTTGAGCTGAAGAGCTGAGGGACAGCACCCAGGCCCAGAGTTCAGCTCCGGTACGGGCAGGAAAAAAATAAAAGTGTATTTGCACACAGTAGGCATCATCCAGGCATGAGCTGTTATTGAGGGTCACGTCTAGGGAAACAAAACCCTCGTGATTACCTCTCTTCCACATCTTCACTGATGCGGTTTTGTAAGCGCCGCAGACGAGGGTCACTAGATGAGTCCTCCTCCTGCTCCTCGGGCTCTGCTTCTTGTTCTTTGGCTTTCTTAATGAACTGAAATTCTTCGTCCTCCTCATCTGAGGACTCCATAGGGGCATAGTCCGGCCTCTTTCCAGATACATAACGCTTCACCTTCACCTTCTCCATCGAAATCTCACCTGCGTAAGAATGAGAACATGTTCCTGTAACTTTCCCTCCCTCCCCCCACCCCACCAGGGACCTTCAACCGGGCATGCAGTCCACATTCACTTCCAGAGCATCCACGATGCTAGTCCACGGAATCTGGTGGAGGAGACCCAAGGGAAGAGGGGGGTTCTTCATTTAGGTGAGGGCAGACAGGATGTACAGGAACAAGATCAGGAGAGATGTCCTCCCCCCCCCCCCGCCCTCCACGACCCCTAGGCAACGCGACCGGGTACAAATTGTGTGTGTGGGGGGGAGGGGGAAGGCGTCAGGTGGAAGAATGGGGGGCTGGGGCTGCAGGGCCGGGGCGCCGGCGTGCACGGCCTAGGAAGGCTTGGAGATGGGGGGAGAGCACCGTACCTTTCTCATTGCGAACCGGGACGGCCCCAGCCGTCGACTGAATAGGAGGCTGCTTCATGAGTGCGCTGGGGACCGACATGTTGGCGGCGGCGGCAGCGGTGCCCCAAACTCTGACTAGTCCCCAAAACAATAAACAAACGGCCACGAACGAGAACAACAGCTTCGCTCGGCGGCGGCGGCGGCGACTCCGACACGGCGGCGCGGCTGACGGAGACTACGTACGCCCAAGCTAGAGAAACCGGAAGTGTGCCAGCGGAGGATTGTGGGATTTCGGAGGACCGCTGAGGCGGCTACTGCTGTTTATAAAATCAGGTTCAAGCTGTCCCTTGGGCGTGTGCCCGGGCGGATCTCGCGTTCCAAATCGCGCGAGGTTTGCGGGTCGCTTCGTTCGCCGCTGGATTCGAATGCAAAGGTTCCCTTGTTATCCTTGTGGTGAGGCCGAGAAGAACGGGATAGTGATGAATTTCCTCCAAACAGTGGTGCAAAGTGGATGTGAAGGAATAGAGTGAATGCACTGGATGAAGAAGTAGCGGGAATGGAGGCCAGCCAGGGTCTGAAACTTTTCCGAGGCCTGGCACAAAGTCCGGACTCCCCAACCCCCCCCCAACCCTACCAAGAGCTTTGATTTTTTCTAGTACCTGTGCAGACGTTCACTCATTCATTCAGTTATTCGGTTTTATTTTTTCCTTCTTTATTTTTGTGGCGATAATGGAGATGAAAACTCAGGACTTTGCTCTTTCTGGTCAGGTACTCTAACCACCTGAGCCAAACCCTAGACCTTACATGTCTTCCACTTTCTTGGGAACGGCTATTCCTGACTGGAAAAGTTCTCATGTTAATTTTCTAGTTATTTAGTCCCTGTATGTACCGTGTTTAGGGTTTTGGAAGACGTGTGAATAGTGTTGAAGTTCTGTGTCCTCAAGAAGCTTAACTTGAGAGGTCTTTAAGAACTTCTAGAATAAGGCCCTACATGGTAGATCACTTAGAAAATTCCCTTTGTGATTCTACAGAACCGACTCTAAACTTACAGCTGGGTTACAATGAATAAAATTAAATTGGCTGATTGAAAGTCAATACATTTTACTAGCCAGAGGCTTTTATACCTACTGTGGTGGGGGAGAGGAGAGATACAATGACCATAGTTCTAAAGTTCAATACTAGTATTGGAGTGCAAGACACTACCAAATATTTAGTACTTTTTGAGTCCAAGAATGGTTTAAATTCTGCAGGTAGCTGGTGTTGGAAGGTGGTGTGAATGTGTTCTTGATAATTAACTCAGAAGTATTTCACCTTGGTTGTAAAAGTGGATCCTGGTTGCAAATGAAATCAGCTTGTTTCAGGTAAGCAACAGCGCGGCATCTAGTGCATCTAGTGAGCAAGGAGGCAGTTTGAGGTGAAAGGATTTTAAGGGTATTTGTGGATAGGTTTTTTTGTTGTTGTTTTGAGATGAGGGCTTCTGCCTTTTGAGCAACTGGAATTATACATAGACCTGAATACCATTTGGCTTTTGGTTTAGGATTTTTTTTTCTTTTTTTTTTAAGGTGCTGGTCCCGGGGCTTGAACTCAGGGTGTGGGTGTGTCCCTGAGCTTTAGTGCTCAAGGCTAGCCCTCTACTACTTGAGCTCCACTTCAGGCTCTTGCTCTTTTGGTGCTTAATTGGAGATAAGGGTCTCACGGCCTACATCTGGCTTCGAATTGCCGTCCTCTGATCTCAGCCTGCTGAGTAGCTAGGATTACAGGCGTGAGCCATTGGGGCCCGTTTTTTGTTTTATTATTCTTTATTTATTTCTGCTTATGTGGTGCTGAGGAATGGAACCCAGGGCCTCGTGCATGCTAGGCAAGCACTTTACCACAGAGCCACCGTCCCAGGATTTTTTTTTTTTAAAGATCTCAGCACTACCAATATCAAAATCACCTGGTCCTTAAGTAAAACTGTAGATTCAGATCGGTCCTTGGATCTCTGGTCCTTCGTCAGCCCGGGGCTACGTAATTAGCCCCACGTTAGGGAAAAATAAAATATGAGTTCTGGGGCTGGCGTTGGGTCCCGCTTGGAGGTCGGCCGCGCCGGGCTCCGCCTCCCTGCCTGGGCCAGCGGCTGCTCGCCCCGTGCCGGCCCCGCCCCTCCCAGCCGGCC